GACAAGACTAAAAAGCTCCTATCAATCTGGAGTAGTGTCTGTGCTAGAACACCTACGGACCTTAAATAAAATTAAGATAGCGGGCCTCTACATTAGATCAATTAAACCACAATTTCTGGAGGTATTGTTCTCTTAAAAGCTCCCCAGGTGACACTAGTGTACAGCCAGGGATGAGAGCCACTATCTTAGACAGTGAAGGACACAATTTCTTATGAGAAAAGGAATTCCTTATGAGAATGGTCACAAGAGACCGTAGAATACATATAAGAAGGCTGTGAAATTTACACAGGCTAGATGATGATGTACACCAAAGTCAACCAGAATATACACACAGAGCCATCCTTACTTGCAATCAGAGATGGAGGGAGCTGGAAGGGCTTGTTCTCATCAGCTGACTCTAAACCTTGATTATACACCTTTCTCACAAAAAAACTGGAGCATGAGCTACATGTATATTTATTTGTAAACTGTAAAAATATACTATTGTATTAATGTATGTGCGTATTATAAAGCATACACAAAATTAAAAGGGATGAAATTAATTATTTTAAGAGTAAGTTTTGATTTGTCAAAATTATAAAACACTTCTTGCTCTTAAAATACAGTGATCTCTCTTCATGTTTTGGATGCTTAGTTTTTAAACTTCTTGCAAATTTGATAGCTTCATACTAGCAATAGCTGGTATAGCTTAAGGCACAACACACAAAAGTCAAGGATCACTGTGTTTGTTATTTCTAGCAGGCCATCAGCTTCATGTATGGGCAGTAGTAATGGCTAGGGGGTGCAAGCTACATTTCCAAGATTCCCTTGCCAGCTCGTTGCCAGCTGGATTCTGCCAAAGGGAGAATGGAGGTGGGAGGAAGCGAGATTTTTTTCTGCATGGGGGAGTACCTCTGGCTGCAGTAGCTTTCTGATCTCTGGGTAACCCCTTTCTCTCTTTTGCAACTCCAGCCTTTCCATTTTGTATTTGCAACAAATTCCCTATATCTCTTCCTGTTTGACATTATCTACGGTTGTTTCTGTTTCTCTGGTAGACACTAATGGAATAAAAATAGGGTACGGAAGCCACATTTAAAAGATATTGATAATTTCATTTTGGACAGGCAAGTTCTTGTCAGATCTGATTACATCATCACTGTTTCTACCTCATAAAGTGAAAGACAAAAGGATCATTTTAGCAGCAGCAGAAGTGCCAGTTTTTCCACTTTCTTGTTCACATATGTTTGCTTTATTAGTATTATCTTTAATCTACAGTTTCTTTGCAGGAATCTTTTAAAGACATTTAAGTTCATTTTTTGAGATTTAGTTAAAAATAGTTCTTATAATCTGTAAATCCCCAAATTTACAGATACATAACTGGTGAAAGGCTAAGGATGATGGAAAGATCTGAGAATGGTTAATGGTGATGGTTGTACAACCTGATGAACATAATGTCACTGAACTGTACATGTGAAGACTGTTCAAATAGCAAATGTTTCGTTACCTATATATTAGCCCAAATAAATAAACAGATAGATCAGTTTAAGTTCCAATCTTTCTCCCTCACCCCAACGGGCCCTCTTGTAAACACTACTTTGACGACCCATAATTTCACACTGTTTGTTTGCACTAGTTCAAAGAACTGGGGAAGGGGAACTTGATGGTAAATTGTTTACAAAATGCAAGATTACAGAAATGGCTGAGGGTTCCCAATCTTAACATATTAAAATGCATTGTCAATTTTGAAGAGTGGGGATATAATCAGAATCTACGAAAGTTATTTTACCACAGAATCCTTTTTTTCCAAAACTCTTTTTTCAAGGATACTTTCACCAAATTAGTGTTTTAAAAACTCACTGGAAAATTTTGATCTACACGAACCAGTTCGAGTTTCAGAAACCTAATGAAGATTCAAGGCAGAAGAAGGGCTACTTAGGATAGGTCATGTCCTGGTACAGAGTTTTCAGGGCTGTGCTTTTAAGGAAGGGGCACTCTAAGAGATAATGCTACTCATGTAAACCCTTTATGGGCAAATACAACATATGCTTTTATGAATGGCCAATATGGCAGGTGCTATATCCCAGACAGTTTGTGAACTAAAGAGACATACTTGAATTTAACAGCTCCATGTATAAAAGTGGGAGTTCAAAAATTTGGAGATGATTACATATATGTATGTACACATAGAATATATACATATACACATATATATATTTATGTGTCATAGGGAGGGTGAAAAGTTTCTGGGGTAAATGCAAGGTTTTTTCTTTCTAAATGCAGGGATATTGTTTTATAGTTTTACATATATATGTCCAATTTTCCATCCCTCTTTCCATTTTTGGTACAAAAATTTTTTTCTTAGTTTTATTCTGATAATTACCTTAAACGAACCTCAACTGTTAAGAAGAAATAACGGGCTTCATGTTTACATTCTCTATCTGGCAAAACTTTGAAAACAATTCAGTATTATACTGAGTTAAATTTTTTATATAAAGTCTTAATTATATAATCTCTAAGTCATTCCTGTTGAACTATGCTGATTCTCAACCTTTTAAAAATCAACATTCCCTCTGATAAATAACAGACGTTTTATACTCTTTCTATAGTTGGTATCATAATACATAATATGGTTTTTGAAGCTATGCAGGTGGGCTCGCCTGTTCTGATACACTCTCATAAAAAAAAAAAAAAATCATTCGACATTCAAATAGCGTAATGGGATACATACACAGCCAATCTTTGTTTTCATGTAAACTATTAATCAAAACAAAGTGACTGATTGCTACAATGATATCATAACTCATTCATACTACGACAACCTTAAAGTTCAGTAGCTTGGACTGAAATATTACAATGGTAAAGACAGTTTTCAAAAAAGGATATTACAGCCTTATGCTCTAACAAATTCAGAATACAATGTATCTGTACTTATTTTAGTAGTAAAAAGAGAACAATGTAAGAACACTCCCAAAAAGAACTTTTGAAATCTCTCTGCCTTCAATATCTGCCCAGTGTCAATGATGACGAACTAGACAGAAGTCAAATTTTGACCAGCTTTTGTGGACCTCAGAGACTTGCCAATTGCCTCAGAAATGATGGCCTGCAACAGTATAACAAGAGTGACAGCTGTAACGGAAAACGGTTATAGTATAGAAACGTGTATTCACTACTATTAATGAAAGATAGATTATACCCCAAACTGGGGATATGAAAAGGCACGGCCAGAGAACTGAATGAAGTGGCAGCTCCTTGAAGACAGGGGTTTTATCCATTTGGTTCACCAGGGCTATGCATCTCAGGCAGGATGCAGGCATTAAAAAAATATTTGTTATTCAGAGAAGACAAATCTTAGGTAACTGTGGTAAGATACTGACATGGCTAAGTACTGAGAGTTTTCCCTAGCTTTATCCCTTTCCCATTCCAACAAAAGACCTTTACTTGCTCACTGTGAATTCAGACAATACATGCTCATTGTGACAATTCCAACAAGTGTAGTTTCAACAGTGATTGCCTTCTTCTGATTGTATAACTTATGATATGAAGTGAAAATCTTTTCTACGCTAGGCCAATTGTCAGACTCCCTACTAAGTCTGGATTAACTTCCAACAGTTTATCCTTTCTGCTTTCAATGTTGTGAAATACCTTTGAAAGTTCCTTTCTTGTGAACATTTCTGATGTCATCATTTCCTCTGGAATATCTGCATCCTTTTGGTCATAAACACTTTCCTCATTTATGTTGGTAAGTTTGCTTTCAGTAAATTCCTACCGACTCGACAGCAACTACCAACACATTCCTACCGCTGCATGTCTGGAGTTTCTTGAGTGGTGGCAATGCCAACATTCTCACGGTCAAATGTTTCTTCTATAACATTACTTACATTTGATTCTAATTTTACTTCCAACCCCTACCGCTTTTTTTTTTCTTTGCTGTACTTTCATCTTTGTTGGCCAATTCCCTCTTTAGAGTAACCATTTTTGTAAAATGTCACATGGGTTTATCACCAGGAGACAAAGAGGCAACACAACTGCACATTTTGCTGAATAACAGATGTGCAATGGGCAATCACTGACAGACTTTAAAAGCAGTGTCGAGATCGGTCACTGATTACAACGTGCATCTGTTATTTACTTAGTGATTTGTGGACTGAAGAGCTAGCAGCGAAGCCTGTACTTCATGTAATTACTCACAGTTAATATACCATGGTAACTAAAATCTAAACTGTGGTAACTAAAATTCATACCTATCAATCAGAACTGCGTAAAGAGGGGACTGTGTAGACGCAACACATGTAGAAAAATGTACGTTCACCTTAAATGTGCAGCTCAATGAACCGTCAAACTGAACACCATACACATCCATGTAATTAGCACCCGGATCAAGAAACATCACTAGCACCCTTAAACCCTTTGTGTTTCCTTCCAGTTACAACCATCCTGAACCCCCACCCAACGCAATCCTGAATTCTCACAGCAAGGATTCATCTTGCCAGTTTTGTTGCTGGCATAAATAAATAAAATCATGCAACAAGCACTCTTTTGTGTCTGGCTTCTTTTGTCCAGCATTAAGTGTGTGAAATTCACCCAAGCTTCTGCGTGTAATTGTTGTCTGTTACCTCACTAAGTGACTAAGCCACACTGTACTTATCTAATCAACTGCTGATGTGCATTCGGGTAGTGTCCAGTCACTATAACACTCTAGCACATGCCTTTTTTTTTAAAAAAAAAAAATAAAGTTAAACAATAGTTTGGAAAGTCTTGTGTTCCTTTCTTTGCATTGAAGGTGCTCAAGCAGAGGCTGGCCACGGTGGGAGGCATTGGAACCCCGGCACCTGACAGCAGGTGCTTGACTGCCAAGGTCCTACCAGAGCCTATGAGTCTATAATACAGGAAATAATGAAGATATTATTTTATGAGCCAATCTGTTATTTTGCTAAAAGGTATCTCATTATAATTCTACAACTTATTTCTAATTCTATGCTTTACAGTCAAACAGAATGAAAAAAGACATGCAGAAGACTTACATTGTATTGATGATTAGCAACAGGTTTGTAATTGGTGGTTACAACTTTGTCCAGCTGTTGTGACAGTCTTACAGGCTTAGAAGATTCTTCTATTTGCAATCTGAAAAATAAAAGGCATTCTTAAAAACTTAGTTGTTTAGAAGATTCAAATCCGAAGAGTTATATTTCTTCTTACTCAGTAAATACAATATATAAAAAATTAACCTCAAAAGATTTATCAACCTTAATACTTCAAAAACACGTTGAGTGATATGTGTTTATTATGTAGAAACCAGTCCCATAAGCTAAACATACAAATCTCATAATTTTTTTTTTAAAATAATACTTCATTGTTTAAGATGAAAGTTTACACAGCAAATGAGGTTCCCATTTAACAATTTCTACAGTGATTATTCAGTGATATTGGTTACATTTTCCACAATGTGTCATCATTCTCATTCATTCCGTTCTGGCTGCACCATTTTCAGTACTCTAGTTCCCCTGCCCTCTTACCTCTCATCTTTGCTTTAGAGTAATTTTTTTTTTTTTTTTTAATATTTT